ACTTTTTTATTGAAAGTTGTAGAGGACAAGTTGCCCTACAATATTGATATACAAATATTTGCATCTAAGCGGCTTATATTGCCAAAAAAAAATCATTTATGCAAAATTTAACTTTTCGCCCCAGTCTCCCCTAATATTATTAATTTATACCTAATATTAATTAAATTAATTTTTTTTATTAATAACAAATTAAAATGAAAAGTTTTAAAATATTGAAAAGAATAAGAACAAATTTATCTCTAGCAAATAATCAGTCGAGCTGTCTAGTTATTAGACATTATTGCAGTGTCATCGACACGACAAACTTAGAACTATAATTTCTAGGAGTACTTTAAAGTAACGTTAAAAAACTAGACAGAAGTTATGTCTAGCCAATATCAAATTCAACTTGAATCTTTGATGAAGAGCGTTGGTCAGTAACTTTACAATTATTTACCAGTCCGCCTAGAATCAGCGTCCGTGACAAAAACTGTCCAGTAACTTGAACAATCGAGTGGTTCCATGACAAATTTCTACTAGGGTAAGGATTCCTAATCATTATGGTTAGGATCCAAGGATTCCATAAAGGATTTCATATGGGTTTTCATGTTACATATATAAGATTTCATATAGGATTTCACAAAAGATTTTATATGTGATTACATTAGGGATCCATTGTGAGAATTTTCAAAGGATTAAAAATTATTTAATTAAAAATTAAATAATAAATTGTATTAGCATTTCAAATCATCAGGAAGAAAAAAAATTCGATAAATTGAAACACTTCTTCTGAGCTATAAACTCTCAGTTATATAGTGTTAAAAAATCATGTTAACAGGGGGAGAAGTCGCTCTCGCCACCTGGCGGTGAAAGTATATGAACTGTAGTATTCTGTATCATTAATAAAAAAAACTACATGAGATTCTATGTAAGATCCCATGTGGAAAATTATATGGAAAATAATATACGATCTCACCTGGGAATTCATATAATTTTCATTCCTATGTAAAATCCTACGTAAGATCCCATGTAATTTCGGTTTCAAACTATGTTTTATGTTCTTTATTAATTTTTTTGTGATTTTGACGTGATATGTGCCAGATTATTAAAAATGGTTTCACTTGTAAACATTGCGACACAATCATGGTCTGAAGGTGCATAAGCATAAATTTTGTTTCAATATACCAGAAATATTAAAAACATTAAAGAATTTAGAATAACTTTTACAATTTTTTAGGAGTGGCCCACTCAAGGTTACACTTTTTTCATTCCTTAAAAATTAGCTATTTTTTAAAGTCAATTGTTTCTTCCAACTAAAAAAAAATTAAAGCCATTATGGTATAAACACTTATCTAGGGATCTAAACTAAAGCTTGGAATAGAAACCTCCGATTAATTTGCTTTCATAAAGAATTTTTTAGAAAAAAGCTTAGGCGGTCCACTCAAGGTGACATTACCCTATTAAATCTTTTGTGAAATCTTATATATGTAACATGAAAACCCATATGAAATCCTTTATGGAATCCTTTATGTATTCTCACATAGGAATCCATGTGGATTTTTATGTAGATACACAAACTCAAATTCCCACATGAATTCCTGCTCCAAATTGTGTCCCAAATATACAGGTGCTTTTACATTGGATCCCATGTGGATTCTTACGTGGGATCTGGGATTTTATACAGGTTTTTGTATAAGAACCCACGTAAGATCCCATGTAGGATCCCATGTGGGCATTTTCAATAGGGTACTCGCGTCTATTTTTTGTACATAAAATGGAGTTCTTACATACATCAAAATTGCTGGTTTCTCGGAACCTCTGGAAATATAGATAGTCCATGTTTTAGAAATTAGACTATTTAATTATATTAGTTAATTCTTTTATACTTTTTTGGTTAGGTTTCAATATAAATCGTCGAAATTTTTACGCACGTGGTGACAACATTTTTACTATTTTAATCGCGCAGTGTGTTTGAAAATTTACCTTTGTAATAATTTGTGTATTTAAATTTATTTTCATTTAAATGGCATAAATAATTAAAAATTAATAGTTTTTGCCAAGTAGATAAAATTGTGTACTTGAAAGATATAAAACATCATCTGATTAAGTATTGTATTTTGACTCGAAAATCTAGTGTCTATTAAGAAGTTAAAATACCAAGTCGTGTTTAGTGTAGTGGTTATCGTTCCGGGTTTCAAAGTGCGTATTCGTTAGGTTCAGGTGTTCGCATCCCCCCAGCGTCAAATATTTATTTCATAAGTTTAAATTAATTCCAAGGTATATAAATGAAAAGTAAAATATAAATATGTTTAATAAAATAATTAATTATTTTTTAAAATTATATTTACTTTTTCTCTTTTATTGGATAATAAGAATTTGATTAAGAATTTCAAATAATTATAATACTATGCTTGAATTTTATTACTTTGACTAGGATTATATAGTGGGTTCCTCTCGTAACTAGGAAACCTAGTCAATTCCTGGTATACGGCTCCTAGGCATTTTTTCGGTGTAAACTATTTCCGTTTGCCCAAGGTATACCACGAGAAGGTTGTTAGTCAGATTATTTATAAAAAATATAAAAATAAAATTACAATATTTTTGTATAATTTGCACCTTGGTAGGTTGGAATCAGTGTTATATACTTCTCGCTGGGAAATTAATGATACATAACTGAAAATTTTTATCATTAATACAAAGATTGCAGCAAACGACAAATTTGACAAAAAAATAAAATTTTTTTGGAAATTTTTTCAACTCAAGCATATTTTTTGAAAATTGTAGAAAATATTTGAAATTTACATAGGTGTGATCATTCAAGTTTTGCCTTTAATTTGAGACCAAAAGAGTTTAAAAATCTTATTCATATCATTATAAACGTCCGAGCATGTTTTTTGACAAATGCATTGAATTAGTCGATTTTGTACGGTTTTTGTCTGAAAATGCTCGGGCGTTTATAATGATATCTCGCTAACCATTTAAGATTTTTGAACTCCTTTGGTCTTAAATTAAAGATGAGACTTCAATGATCACGCCTATGTAAGTTTTAATTTTTTTCTACAATTTTTAAAAAATATACAAGAGTTGAAAAAATTTCCAAAAAATTTTATTTTAAAAATTTTTTGTCAAATTTGTCAATTGCTGCAATCTTTGTATAAATTATTAAAATTTTTAGTCATGGTATCATTAATCTTAGAATTTAATAATCTTTCGAATGGTATATTTGTTAATTTTCTGATATTTGTATTTACAAAAAAAATCGTGATTTAAAGATTGGCATGTTTTTGGACAGTGCGCATGCAACCGTACCGATAATTCCCGACGGTAGTGTACGTCCATTTACTTTTTTAATAAATCTTGCACATATAGCGAATTTTTTATTTACTATATATATTACCCAGTGGGCACAGGGACGTCTAAAAGACGTCTTAAAGACGTCCCTTTTTGTCCGCGGACGATTCGGGGACAATGATGGCAATGTCTCTGAGTCATCAAAAAGACAACTAAAAGACGTCTAAAAGACGTTCTATGTCTGGTCCAAAAGACGTCTAAGAGACATAAGAAAGGACGTCTAAAGTACGTCTAAAAGACGTCTTTTGGACGTCTAAAAGATATAAAAGGGACGTCTAAAAGACGTCTTTAAGACGTCTTTTGGACGTCCTTTTTACATTCCTTCAGATCTTAAATAAACATTTCTTTTATAACATTTTCTAAGTTGAAATTCAGTAACATTGTATTAAATTTATTTTAAGTTTAATTTTATTTTTCTAAAATGTGGAGAAATAATGAAAAAATTCCTACGAAGCTGGGATCGAACTCGGATACCTTGGGCTTGAAACACTGCGCCTTAAGCACCTCAGCCGTTCAAGACAGATATGAACCTCTACAAAGTTAACGATCTCACTTGTCAATGAAATGAATTTAACTTAGAAAAATTCCAATGAATTTCACATTCATAAATTTCTAAGTCCAAGTTGAACTTAGAAAATAATATTTTCTATTTATGAAAATTTTTCAATTTTAAAATGTTGAATGAAAAAGATGTCTTTTAGACACTTTAAAGACATCTAATGGCCAAGACATAGAACATGAATAGGACGTCTTTAAGACTTCTTAAAGACGTCTTTTTGTACAAGTCCAAAAGACGTCCGCAAAAAGACATCCTTAGGATGTCTTTTGAACAAGAGTGCCCACTGGGTAGGGAGCGTTCACAAATGACGTCACGCAATTTTGTGAACGCTCCCATACACTGAGAAAACGATTTATTCGTTTCAAACATATTTTGTTTAAATCAAACTTAAATTAGGCAAACGGGAATAGTTTGGCGAATGTCAGCGCAGTGATAGCTTTACTTTTTTGTAAATTTTTTCGAAAAGTTGACTAAAAAATCAATATTTACAATAAATAAGAATATATTATTAACTTTTTTAGAAATTTAATTTAATTATTAATTAATTTAATTTTAAAAAATGTTGGCCCCTCGTTTATATAAGAAACTGTACTATTTAGGGGCCAAAAATCGGTTTTTTATTTTTTAAAGTATGAAGTACCCTTTCAATCATCTTGCAAAAATTATATGTTACTTTTGAAATGACAATTATTTTGTAGAAAAAATGGCGGTAGTGCCATTTGGTCGACAATTTTTTTTTATTAACTGTTCATATTGTATTATGCAAAAAAAAATTTTCATGAAAATCGGTTCAGCCATTTTAGAGGAAATCAGAATTTTTGAATTTTTTTGAATTTTTCAAAAAAATCGTTTAACTCAAAAACAAAATTTTTTTTCGAGTTGAAACTTAGTGAAAATAAGTTTCATAATAGATCAAAATTATTCCCTAAATGTAGACCCAATCCAGAAGGGGGCACTTTTTACATGCTTATACTGCTACGACCTTTTGCATTTAATTAGTATTCAAGAATTGTATTTAAGTTTCAATACGAATTAAATACAAAATTTGTATTTAATTTTTTGTTCGCCTTTATTAATTAATTATAATTCGTATTAAAAAATGTAAATTTACCATTTAATTGGTTTTCTATTTGCTTGACAATTCCATTTTGATACGATTCAATTTTTTGGCCCCCGTTGATGTTACCGGGGGCCATCCAGTTTGGGTGTTCTGAATTTTGAACTCCTGAATCTTGATCTTGATTAGTTTCCTCAGCATTAACTTCCTCTTTTCTTCGAACCCATTTCATTAATTGATAAAGTGCATTTGCAAATTCTAGTTGAACATTCTCCACATCCGTGTCGCCGTCAATCTAGGAAATTGCAAGAAAAACTCGTTATAATTAAATAAATTTTGCTCCTAAAAAAATTCTAATATTATATTTTACATTACCCAATGGGAAATGCCAGTGTAGTGCCGATGTTCACCACTGGCTTAGTACTCAGACGATTGTTCGGCGTAGTCTAGCCGAGCCTCGACAATTAGTGCTGGCGCAGTACAGAATTTTTGTTTCGCCAAAGCTTGGACAAGCCACGACGGCAAGTGCTGGCTGAGTATTAGGGTGTCCCAAAAAAATAAAAAGTTTTTTTTTATTGGGTCTCATCCCCTAAAATTCTTTCAAATTGTGTAAAAATAAGAACACAATATTTGGAAATAAAAAATTTTAATATTAACCCGTGGTTCAGAGCCTTTGAACCATAAGAACGCTAAAAATGTAGTGTTTTTTCATTTTTAACATAAATATAAATGTCAAAATATAATGAATAGGGTGTCATTGTAAAGATAATTAAATTACCTTTTGATCCATATGTCATAGTATAAGATTCAATGAAAATTAAGAGTGTTACAGTCGATTAAAGATTAAATTTCATGAAAATTTTGATGATTTTTATTTTTTAGACACTCAAGTAATTTGTACTTTTTTTACATTAAACAGTAAAAAATATTTAGGTTTTAATTTTTTTATTGAGAGTCTGTAACATTACGAAAATTTTTAGCCCTTGTGGACCTCGATTTGATTGAAAATGACAATTATACACTAGATTTAGTGAACGAAACTATTTTTTTTATTCTTATCATTCCTTCAACATTTAGAGCAAAAATTGAAACAATAAATTTAGATATAACCACTAAACTTACTAAAATCAGTGATAAAAAAATACTGAAGTCGCTGATTTAGAGTCTAATGTCAGTTTTTCAAATTTCAAAATGGCGGAGAACTTCGTAAAAGTCGATCGAATTCGTCTCAAAATCGGGTAACGGATTTTGAGACGAATTTAATCGACGATTAAATTACGGATTTTTGTAATGTTACAGACTCTCAATAAAAAAATTAAAATCTAGATATTTTTTACTGTTTAATGTGAAGAAAGTACTAGTTACTTAAGTGTCTAAAAATCATCAAAATTTTCATGAAATTTGATCTTTAATCAACTGTAACACTCTTAATTTTCATTAAATCTTATACTATGACATATGGATCGAAAGGTAATTTAATTATCTTTACAATGACACCCTAATCATTATATTTTTACATTTATATTTATGTTAAAAATGAAAAAACACTAAATTTTTAACGTTTTTATGGTCCAAAGGCTCTGAACCACGGGTTAATATTAAAATTTTTTATTTCCAAATATTGTGTTCTTATTTTTACACAAATTAAAAGATTTTTAGGGGATGAGACCCAATAAAAAAAAACTTTTTATTTTTTTGGGACACCCTACTGAGTATAGAAAAATTGTTCACAACGCTCTTTGCCAACATTGCTTTTTTGACATAAACTTGAAAAAAATTATAAAAAAAGTTTATAAATGTTTATAAATATAAATTTATTGAAAAAATTAATATTTTACTTTTCAGTTGTTCATTTTTTATTCTTATTAAATTTAATAATAACAATTTAACACAATTGTCTAATATTGTAAATAATAAATTACTTAAACAAAATTTAAACTTTAATCTCAATAATAATTTGGTTCCTATTAAAATACTATTATACTTCTTACTATGAATAAAAAATTATTAAAAAATTACCACGTAATTTAGGAATTACGTAAAATGTTAAATGCAATAAGTAAAGTAACTTAATTTTTAAAAATTTAGTTTAATTTATTTTATTTCAATTTATTATTTCTAACGTATCCCTATTTTTTTCTCATCTTTGACTCAATAATTGTATGTCTGAATGATACTGAGATATTAATACTTTACTGTACACATGTGTCGTTAGCATAGTGGTTAGAGCGTTAGTCATAGGTTTGCGATATTTCTAGATTCCAATCGTTAGGTACTAAAATATGAAAATCTAATGCACACTAACTGTAATTGTTTATTATTTAATTTTTAAATGTTGTAAACAATTTTTTTCTACTTCATTTACTATATCCATTGTTAGTCTCCATCTTTAATACAATTTCTTTAAGAAGAGAAATATTTTATGAATAATAACTATTTATTAATATTATTTACCATTTTGTTGTTAAATTATTTATAATTATGAATTTACGACTAATTAATAACAATACGGCATTTATTGCGTCAATATTCTCAGCCAGCACTGGTCCAGTGCAGCGCCAGCGCTGTCTGGCAGCACTGACAGACAGTACTTCAGCAGCGCCAGACGGCGTTAAGTAGTTAGACAATGTGAGTTCCTGGCGATAGTTCTCAAGGCTGCCGCTAGAGGCGCCACTAGCGCTGCAGTCAGTCAATGGCGCGTGTTTTTGAAATTAGTTCGCGAGGCCGCCACTAGCGCTGCAGTCGGTTATGGCGCGTATATTTGAAATTGTTAATTTCGCGGGCATTGCTCTCTACTATATTTTTCTACATACCTGGGATTTTTCCGGCACGTGAGATAATCTGAGCGGGAGGTTTGTCGTCGAAGTATAATGATGTGCACCGTCGATTATTGTCCGGTACACACCATTAGAATTCGACTGTCGATAAACCGGTTGTACTCGGAGAGGTTTTCTACAGTTTCCCTCTCCACTGGCGAGAAAACCCATTAGACGGGTGGTACAGGCAAATGCGAGTACTCCTAACCTCAAAGTCGTTCTGTAGAAACGCAAAAACAAGTTGGTATATAAGAGTGTGTGTTCTGACAGTTGGCTAAGCCTGAAGTCATTTAAAAAAAAAAAATTTTATTTTAACGAGTCTTGAAAATTTTGTTCTACAAGACATGTACATATCAGGATATTTTACTTTAAGAGCTTCCTTATTATATAATCATTATAAAATATACATTACAATTAAATGTAAGTAGTTTTTTATCAGTTGATATTAATTCATTGTTGAATCATAGTTGATGCATTAATGACTCATTGTTGATTCGTTAATGATTCATCGGTGATTAATTAATGATTTATTATTTATTCATTAATGGTTTACGGTTAAATAATTCTTTAAAGATTCATTATTGATTAATTTCTTATTAATTTTTCGAATAATAATAATTTATTAGTTAATGATTTGTCTTGTCTATATAACTACACAGAGAAAAATTATGTGTTAAAAGTTTAGTTTCTGTAATTCTGTACACCAGAACGAGAAGTCTTTAAAACCGTGGGACCAATGTTGCGCGGAAGGTTAGGTACATAATCTGAAACATGCGCAATGCAGAATATGTGCTAAACTTCCCTCAGATATACCAGATCATTGGCGAATATACGTTGACAGACTTTTCATTTCAAGAAGGGTAAAATGATGTTTTTATGTTACTTAATCGTATGAACGTGTCCACTATTAATACAGTTCAAACTAATAAGTGGGTCTCTACTGAACGAAAAATAATATATTTTTCTCATCTAAAATTGCGCGAAATTGTAGTAGAGGTGGGGGGGTGAATCTAAAAAAAACAACATGACATCATTTGGAAACGCTTCCTAACCAATTGACAACACTCCAAAAAATGGCGTCTAAAAATAAGACGTTTAGACGTTTATAAACGTCTTATGTCCAAGGAGAGTCCAGAATAGAGTCGAAGCCGATATGAACGCGCTGATACAACGCGCTCGTCCTATGTATTCCATATGGACGAGCGCGTTAATATCAGCGCGTTCATACCGACTTCGACTCTATTCTGGACTCTCCTTAAATAAGCGTCTTATTTGAGCGTCTTAATTGAAAAACATAACCTCTAAATACATGCATTTTAGAAGGCAAATAAGACGCTTATAAACGTCTAAAATGTGACCACGTAAACGTCTTAAACCAAGACGCTCTTTTTTTACAGTGAAATATTTCAGTTCATTATTGGTTCATTATACCCTGACTTTTCCATGACTTTTCCCTGACTTTTTCCCTGACTTTTTACTAATTTTATTTTTGCTTTCTTGCGACAAAAATATGGTAACTGACATATTTAGCAATAAATTAATATCTAATGATAGAAACAAAACGATAATAAAAATCTTCTAAGTTTTGTTAAATTAAAAAAATTTTTTATTCACAAAAAATTTTAATTTTTGTATAAATTTTTAGAAATTTCCCTGACTTTCAATGAAATTTTCTGCCATTCCCTGACTTTTCCCTGACTTCCCTGACCGTTAGACACCCTGATTAATGACTCATTGTTAATTCATTGTTGATTCCTTAATGATTCATACTTGATTTATTTATGATCCATTGATGATTCATTAATGTCTCATTGTTAATAAATTAATTATTGATAGTTGATTTATTAATGGTTCATAGTTGATTTTTTATGATTCATAGTTGATTTATTAATGGTTCATAGTTGATTTTTTATGATTCATTCTTGATTCATAGTTGATTTATTAATGACTCATTGTCGATTCATTAATGATTCATTAATGACTAATTGTTGATTTAGTAATGCTTCAGTGTTGATTTATTAATTATTTACTGTTTATTCATTAATGGTCTGTCTTAAATATCCAACTTTTATGGAAAATGAATGATGAAATGTTATAGTAGTAGTGAATAAACTCCATACATTAGGTTGAAAAAATTATCGATATCGAGTAAAAATGCTTGGTATTGTAGATTTAGTAGATTTTAGTAGATTTAGTAGAAATGATATCTTATTTTAAAATAAATAGATATTTTCTCCAAATATTTTTGGGCTGTAATATTTAGTAAATAAATGTATTCCAAAATACCTGCATTCAGATAATGAGAAGAAAATAATTTTACAATTAACAATTTGAATCAGAAACGAAAATGAATAAAATTACTTTTAATCAACATGCAGGAATCTAAAAAATGTCAGTTGTTGAACGATTTAATAGAACACTTAAGAGTGAAGGTGTAAATTTAGAAGTTGTTGACACATTAAAAGTACGTTTTTTAAAA